CCAGTGCTTTGGTGCATGCAACAGAGACTTTTCATCCCTTCTTCCGTATCAGCTCCTTCTGGGAAGACAGCAGCTCCTTCTCTGAGGCATTTCATAGCTTTGATGATGGAATTATTCTCTGCTGATGGGAACAGGCTGACACAGAGCCCACACAAAGCACTGGAGCGCCCTGCTCAGTGGTCTGAGCCGGACATGGTTGTTGATTGCATCACTCTTATCCATGCAAGACTCCAAATTCCAGCACGAATTCCTTCCCAGCGTGTGGCTGGCTGGATTGAAATCAAGACCCCAGATTCCAGCCCAAATTCCTCCCCAGCGTGTGGCTGGCTGGATTGAAAGCCACTCACTCCAGCCCTTGTAGGGCATTTCCAAACCGTGGCTGCCCCCAAGCCCACCAGCCTTGCAATTCCAGCTGCTTTCCGCTGGAAATCCGCAGCAGAACTCATCCTGCTTCCTGCAAGGCTGGGATTCTTAATCTCCCCGGGCTTCTTTTCTCCATGTACAATGAGGATTACGGTTTAATTCCTGCCTCACAAGGGGGTGCTGTGGGGATTGCCAGGGTTCAGGCACTCAGACAGCACAGCAGCGAGTCTCTTACAAAACCTTCAGCAGAGGGGCTCAGAAAAAAAAAACACCCCACTGCTGTTTGCAGCCTGCTCGCGGCTCACATCAGCTCCCATTAACTGGGAGGCAATTTTCTCCCCAGTTCAGACTTAATTCCTCCTCTAAGTGCCGGCTCTATGCAGAGAACAGCAGGGCAGAGCGGCTATCAGTGCTGAATTGCCTTTTAGAATAGGATGGTGCATGGGGGTGTGAGGGAGTGTGAGCTGCCTGTGCAGTGCATGTGGGGTGTGTATATGTGAGTTCATGGGGGAGGCTGTAGCAGGAGAGCTCAGATGTGAAGCCAAGCCCGGGATCAGCTCAGGAAAACCTTTGCACCTCTGATCCCCCATTGCTGGCAGTGCTGCAGATGCATTATGTGTGTTTACAGATGAAAAAAGCAAAAATAAAACTGATGCCGGCTTTAAAATTCCGTCGAGCGCAGCCTTCTGCACTGATTCCAAATGTTTATAAACACAGGAGTTAATGTAATCAGCACTGCAGCAAATACACACCAGGTACACGGCAGAGACAGGAGTGTCAAACGCGCTCCCAGCTCGGAGTGACAGCTCTCTGCTGTGGGCTCTGCAGCAAACAAAAGCAGCTGAAAAACCCTACCGAGGAATGCTTTAAAGAGCAATCCCTACCCCCCTCCTCCTCCTCCCCTCCTTCCAAGACTTTCTGGTAGTTATAACTGTGAAAATCTCCGAGAAGGTGGCTGTCCCCACCGAGCCTTTCAAGCGGCAGGGAGCCCCTGGGAAGAGGCCACTGCTTGGAAAGACATTGGGGGAATTCCTGGCTCCCCTGAGGGCCATCCATCAGCCCAGCCCTGGTTTTGTGCTCATTCCACAGCAGACAGGAGGTGCTTCAGAAAGATTTGGACAAGCCTGACTCCAGGAACTGTTCCACCCTGGGGAAGGATGTGCATCAGCTCGCCAGGAAAGATCCCATCCAAGGGAGGTGTCCCAGTGCCAATCCCATCCCAACCCCATCCCAACTCCTGCCCACTGCCCAAAGACCACGTTTGCCAGTGGGAAGGGTTTGGGGAGGTCCCATTCCAGCAGGTTGCTGAGGAGACGTTACCTCACACGGCAGCATCAGCAGAAAACCCCAGTGCTGGCAGAACAGCCAAAATGCTGGGAGGACAAAACACTGCAAGCCTGTTGTTTTTTTCCCTTTTTTTATTTTTTTTCCCAGCCAAATGTTGTTTCATGCTCTAATGGCAATTTTCAAGAGCAATATTGGCGTGACAACTTATGTAAGTGTGGGCCAAGTTCCTACACCACTTCCAGGGTCTGTGCCTAAACCAGATTTCACAGGGGTGCACAGGAAAGGTTTTGGATCTCTGTTTTGGTGGCTACTTGCCACCTAAAATGGGACTTTTACCACCCCTAAAACCCAAGGGAGGGTAAATATTGCAGAATTAGAAATTATTTTCCTTGGAGAAGGTGGGATTCCTCACAGCCTATCTGAGGCACCAGGTGGGTTGTTTTTTTCTCTCTTTGTTTCTAGTAGAACACATTTATAGATATATGGAAGGGATTTCTGTGTCTCACAGTGGTTCCTGTGTTCCTGCAGTAGGAACCTTGAAATCCCCTGTCTTGTCATTACAGGCACAGTCAGGGCTCCTTTTCCACATCTCTGGCTGGAATGAGTTTTAGGAACCCACTGTTGCGAGGGGTAGAACAAGGAAGTAAAAAATGGGCTAAACCAGCAGATCTAGCAAAGCAGAAGGCAGCTCCCCCTGCCCCTCAGAGGACATGCATACAGACACCTCCTCAAATTAAAAAAAAAATATTAAGTATGATGCAATTAAATATGTTACATATTATGGTCTTCCTCCCCCAGAAATAACAAAAAACTGCCAAACCAAAGCATTCTGCTCCTGCCTCTCCTGCTCATGCACGAGCCCCCTTGGGCTTCACGGAAATTTTGGACTCACAAAATGCTGCAGAACAGAGGCCCCATGGCACTGTGTAATAAATCTTAGAAGTTAACAGCCAGAACTGTGCCAAATGTGATGGGTTCTGCTTTGTGCAGGATCATGAAAATAATACATTCTGGCTCAGTAAGTCAGGCCTGATGCACCAGGGCTAATGGTCCACTGCTGCTGCTGCTGCTGCTGCTAAATGGATTTACATTTTTGTCTCACATGGTTGAGGTCTGTGATTTGGGAGGCCAAGGCCTCGAGGCTCCATCAAATCTCCCCAGATTCTTGAAGAGAAATGTGAATTTTTTTCCCCCACCTGAAATGCAGGAAGCTGAAAGGAGGAGTGTTGAGGTGTGGCTGCCCCACAGATCTCAGGTGCAGTGACAACACAATAAATGGGAGAAAGGGGAGTGTGACACTGGGAATAATGGAAGCTGGAAGTTGTTAATGTGGGGAACTCCATGGTAACTCAGAGAGACCTGCCCAGGGGAGCAATGTCTCATCGGAGGTATCTCTTTAATGGAGTTGGGAAAGGAAATAATGAGATTTTATGGATTAAAACTGAAATTAGACAGATAAACACTCCACGGGCAGGAAAACCAACCAGCAACAAGGACGCTGGGAACTCCCCATAGGCTGCCTGTCCACGAGGATGGGGACTGGCACTCCTGAGCTCAGGTCTGCAGCTTTAGAGAAGAGGCAGGAGGCAGCGTTCATCAGTTCAGCAGGCTCAGCTCCACAGGCAGGATGTCCAAAGGAATCCCAGCGGCCTTACAGTCTGCAAATCTATTAACTAAACCTCATTACTACGTAATAACTTTTGTTATTTCTGAACAAACCTTGTATCTGGCTAATCCGCTTTGTTACAGAGCTGCCCATCCTTCCCTTGAACAGGAATTAACTTCTAAAGGAATTAAAAGGAGGAGGAGACTGCTGAAGGGGTCCTTAGGGGTATCTTTTTATAGCTGCTGGCTGCCCCCCCCCCCTTTTCCTTTCCCACTATGTGTGGTATCCTTCCCCACTGATTCCATCCTTTTCTGCCTGCCAGGCATTGATTTGTTCCCGTGTTGTTCTAATGGAGCTTGAAATCAACATGACTTTGTTGTTGGTTGTTGTCATTGTTGTTCACATCTTTGTTTGGGGTTCAGCATCCTTGCAGAGGCCAGGGCAGCTCAGGGGCCGGCATTAGCAGGCTAAACACCTCCTTAGCGAGAGATCCACAAAGGCTGTGTCTGTGTCCACATAATAAAGGCTGCTACAAAGCGCAGCGAAACCGCTGCCCCCTCCTCCTGCGCATCAGCTCTTGTGCCAGTTCTGAATCCCCTCGCTTATCAGCGCACACAGAGGGTGGCCAGAACAAGCTCCTTCTTTCAGCAGGCCCCAGGAAAACGCTGTGGTATCCACATCCCAGGCGCTCCGGATTGCCGGTTCAGGCTCCAACGTATTTTCACATCGTGCAGGGTGAAAAACATGCTCGGTCTGGGAGGAGGGTGTCGGGCACCGCCGGAGCCGCGGCCGGGGCGCTCCGGCGTCCGGAGGGAATTCAGCAACAACCTCAAGTCCACGAGCCCCGGGGTGGCGAGGACAGGAGCACCTCCGCCAGCCCACGGCGAGGCGCCCTGTGCTGCGCGGCGCGGCCGGACACGGCGAACAAAGCCCAGCTGCCGCCAGCTGCCAACATCCGGAGGGGCGGGCGGCGAGCCCGACCACCCCGTCCCGCCCTCGCCGCGCATCCCCGGGAGCCGCCGGCCGAAGGGTTAACGCTGCGCCCTCCTTCTCGGAGCGCTGACATCACGGGGCAGGCCCCGCCCGCCAGTGTGTGCGTGAGTGCGAGCGCGGCCGCCGAGCCCCGCACCGGGCACCGCACCCGGGCACCGCACCCGGGCACCTGCGGCCGGCCCGGCCCCGCGCCCCCCGCCCGGCCATGGAGCGCCGCGCCCGGCCCGGCACCGGCACCGCCTGAGCGCCGCCGGGGCCCCAGCGCAGGGCGGGCAGCGGGCGGGGGCTGCCGAGCCCCGCCGCCGGAGCCACGGCACCGCCGCAGCCCGCCGAGGGCTCTGCCTCGCCGCTCTTTATTTGTTTTGCCTCCCCTCTTTCTTTTTTGTCTGGGGTTTCTTTTGGTTGATTTTTTTTTTTCTCCCCCTCGATTTTTTTTTCCTTTTTTTTTTTTTTTTTTTTTTTTTTTTATACCCCCCCCCCCCCCCCCCCCCCCCCCCCCACCCGCCCTCGTCTTCTCGCCCTTCCCTCGTCACTCGCCCCGGGCTCTGCGGAAGGAAGAGCCCGCGCTGCCCCGCGGCCGGAGCGCCCAGCGCCCGCCCAGAGGGGCCCCTCGGATGTGCGGAGCTCCCCCCGGAGCCCTCCCGCCCTCCCGCCACCTCTTTGTCCTCACGCACCTACGATCTTTTTTTTAGTATTTTTTTTTTGAATTTTTTTTTTTTTTTCAAGCAGACCTGAGCATCACCGGGGGCTGGGAGGGTGGGGGGCCCCGCGGCGCTGCCAGACCGACCCTTGCCCATCGCTCTTAAGGAACTCTCATGGCTTCACGGCTGCAGACAAGTTGCCGTGCATCGTGGTGGACTATCGGAGTTTGCATCCTGGCAGCCGCGCTCCTACCAGGTGAGCCGGTCCCCGGAGGGCGCTGGGCTCCGCTGCGGGGCTGGAGGCAGCCCCGGAGGGGATTTGCGGGGTGCCCGTGGGGGAAAGAGGGTGCGGGGGAAGGGTGGGATCGGCGTTTTGGGGTGCGCGCCCGGGTCTGGAGCAGGTGTGGGTGCATCTGTGCGAGGGTGGGAGAGAGCCGGGGCCGGTTTGAGCGCCCGCTCGGCTCGGAACAACACGCTCGTTTGTTTTGGAAGCAGCTGCAGGCAGCGGGCTCCGGAGCCCTGCGAGCTGAGGCCGTTTGTTTGCTTTTTGGATCGAGCAGCGTCTAGCGAGGTGCAGCAGCCAGGCTTCCCCGGAAAGGCAGCCACGAGGCTGGGCACGGAGCGCAGATGTTTCGGGAGGAGGGATGGAGGTTTCGGCTCTCCAGCATCCCCAAAATCCCCGCTCCCCTCCGCACACACTTCCCACGGGCTCTCTTGCGGAGGGGCTGGACCGCTCCCAGCTTTCAGCGCTTCCTTTCAGTGCCTTTGAGCTTGGCTGCCTGATGGCATCTTATTCATCGCTTTGGTTCCGATCCATCCCTTGGGTTCTGATCCATCTGGGGATCTGGGGAACGGGCAGAGATGTGCATCGACTGCTCCGCAGCTCTTTGGAGCCACCCGGGCGGTGGCAGAGCAGTCCGTGTGTCCCTTGCCCGGGCTAGGACCTGCCCGGGGCTCCGGCACAGCGCTGGGAAGCGGAGAGTGACCCACTTTGGCGAGTGCCCTGCGGGGACTCATTTATTCTGCTCCAGTGCAGAACGGGTTAATGCCATCCTGGAGGGCTTTCCGGGAGTCGGAGCCGCGGAAAGGGGATCGGCAGTCTGCGTTTACAGCTTGTGAATGAAGTGAGAGATGCAAACAGAGGCGATGTTTTGCCTTTTTGGGGCTCGGCTGCTGGTGGCTGGGGCTGGAGCGCTGGCAGCGGGCACAGGAGCGATCCAGCCTGTGCCTGCAGCAGCGCTGGGATCTGCAGCTGGAAAGAGAGAAGTTGCGGTGAGGGCAGGGTGGAATTGCGTCCACTCCTCCGTATTTGAGGCTGGGGCAGCGTCCCAGAGGAGCAGCCAGGCTGGCTGGGCTGTGACTGAGATGTGAGCTCTGGGCCATCAAGAGCAAACGCCAGGGCCCAGAGTTCCCTGGCGCTGGCAAACACAGGGGTGTGATAACATCAGGACGTGGGAGATCAACAGATCACGGCGACTGGATGGTCTGGTTAAAATGGATGAGGACAGAGATGAAATGGGAGTGGGTGGTGATCCAGAAACCGGGGAGGCTGTGAGAGGGAAAAGGTTAACAGGGCAATGAGAAAGCAGGGCTGGGTGCACCTCAGTATTCCCAGGACAAAGGGATCTGCTGTGCATTGCAAAAAGAGGTGACGGAAGGGACAGCCTCGGGCTCCCTGCGCTCCTCTGCGCTGGCAGGCAGGTGCCTGGCTGAGCTCTGCCTCCTCTCAAGGAGTCTCAGAACTTTCCATGCTGTTCTTCACCCGGCCTTCCCTCCTCATCCTCCCCCCGTGCAGGAACCCCCCCTCCCCACAGCCCCGAGGAAAGGCACTGGAGGGGCAGTAATGCTGTGGTGACTGTGCTGCCTGAACCAAAAGGACTTTGTGCTCCCCTGGGAATTGCTTTCACCAAGGAGACACGCAGTGACCCTGACACAGCCTGGCATCTCACCTTGTCCTGCCAAGAGAGCCTTTTTTCCCCTGCACATCTCCTATTTCTGGCTGTTCCTGTGGCTGTGCTGCCAGCAGTCAGGCGGGCTCGTCTCCTGCCACTGCAGTAGCGTGGCAGTTTGTCTTGCACTGTCCCACTGACAGCTCTGCCAGGATAAGCCAGTGGTGCATCTCGTGGTGCCTTGCCAAGCCCAGGGTAGAGCCAGCTCCGCAGTGTTCCAGGAGGATAATCCTTCCCAAAGCCTGGCCCTGAGCACCCGTGCCCTGCAGCCTGTGTGGGCGAGACTCTCGGCCCGACCAGTTCGGTGGTGGATGCACCACAGCTGCAGGAGTGTCTGATCCTGTACATTAAATATTTATTCATCCATTTATTTCATTCATTAGGGTGTTGTGGATGGACCCAGAGCTGCAGGGAAGGACCAGCACAGTGCTGCACAAAGCTGAGTCTTTACCAGACCCCAGGTCTGGATGCCTTCCTGAGGCACGTAGTTCCTTGAGTTCAGGATGCATTTTGCCAAAATCATATATATAAACATACATAAAGCTGTATTTAAGCTTTGAATACAGGCAAGCTTGCTTAACAAGGAGAGGAAACTCAGGATCCTCTACTACAAGTGAATTAGTAGCTGTGGACTTGTTGGAAAATGTGGTTTCATACCCAATACTGGAGAAGGATCAGAGCAGTGCCTCAGTGCCTGCTCTCTGGAAAACCTTTCATGTCCAGCTGATCAATGTCATTTCATTCTGTTCCCACCCACCTCCCCCTTCAGACAATGTTAGCTTTTTTTTTCTTCCTCTGATAAGGAAATAAAAGTTCCGCCGCTGTAAAAGCTGTAAGGAGTCTCGTATAAAAATCTGCTTTACAAATTATCTTTAATGTGAGCAGTTCAATCGTCCAGAACAGATTCAATTCATGGTTCCTGCAGCCCATCCATTTGGAACCAGGTATCAACTCACGCTCCATTCAAGACATTGATATCAACAGGGCTTACTGGAAAGCCATGGGGGAAGGGGAGGAGAGATCCCAGGCAGCTGATCTGCAGAGGTTAAGAACACTTGCAGTTAAATTTATGCTTTACAAGCCTTAACAATCTGTCTGTTTATCCCTGCCGTGGAGCTCCTGCAGCTTGAGATGCAGGCACACAGAGCAGAGGCATCATCTGTGCCTGGTCCTGCCTCTGCACATCTGGGGCTCTGCTCCCAAACGCTGACTGCAGACAAATTCCTCTCTGCCATTGCTGGGCTACCTCCTGATCTCCCAGAGGGGCCTGGCAACACTTTGCAAAGTGCTTTGAGATGCTCCACAGGGGAGAGCTGCAGAGGTGGCTGGAGCTGCTTTGACACAGGGTTTTTCCATCGCGGCGCTTGAAAGGAGCATTGAGTGAGCCGTGGTGACCTGCAGGGCTGAGGTCAAACTTGGCTGCAGCTGCAGGGAGGGTTCATTTTGGGGAGGTACAGCAGCTCTCTGGAGCGCTGGGAAGAGCCAAAGCATGTCACTGCAGGATCTGCTCCATCTTGTACTTTCTAGAGCTGCTTTAATATCCCAAAGTAGCTTCCAAAATGCAAAAAAGTTGCCAGCCTTTGGGTTGAGTTCTTGGTTGTTACTTTTTCTTCCCCCGCCACCTGCCTCCTCCCAAAACTCACAAACAGCAGCATCAGGCTATTTCAGGAAGCCAAAGCGTGTCTTTGGCTGATTTTTTTTTTCTCATTAAACCTCACTTAAACCGACCGGTCGGGTTTTACCCTGGCGTGAATTGAGGATCTGCTGAGTGTGTCAGCGTGGGTGAGGCGCCAGGCTGGGGGAGAGGCAGCTCAGCCCACGAGCAGGAGGGTGTCTGCCCCATGGCTGATGCTCTTTGCCCCCTGAACCAGCAGCGTTCACCAGGCAGGAGCTCCCAGCCCCGTCCCATCAGCAGGGAGATTCCAAGGGCACATCCAGCAGCACATCCAGTGCTTGGGATGAGCTGGTGGCCGAGGAGATGCTGGCAGAGCCTGGCACATCTGTCCTTGCATCACCCCTGCTCTGGGCCGCAGCTGGACCAGCCACAAAAGCCAGGCTTAAAGGGAGGCACCACGGGGCTCCTTTGAGCAGGGCTCACACCTCGGCTGAATCACGGCAGGAACCAGAAGAGCCGGTTGTCCCTGACCTGCTTCCCAGGCCTGGCTGCCACTGGCACCTCGTGCCCTCTTCTAGTGCCACTCAGGTTGGGGACAGCCTGGGGGGACAGCAGCAGGAGGAGGCTCTTTCCCACCTCCAGTGCCCTGGGGAGTTACACAGCAGTGCCAGCAGACAGGGACAGGGGCAAGCACTGCAGGAAAAGTGGATTTTGATCATCCGGAATGATTTGGATTGGAAGGCACCTTAAAGATCATCTTCCAACCCCCTGCCTTGGGCAGGGACACCTTCCACCAGACTGGGTTGCTCCAAGCCAAAAATTTTTGGAAGAGCTGGAGTTGGGCTGTGTGTGAGAGCTGCAGGGGTGAGCTGGCCAGTGCTCAGGAGGATGGCCACAGGGTGTGAGTCTTGCAACATCCTTGCCCGAGGTGCTGATGACTCTTGCTCAGTCCCTTTCACAGGCCAGCCAGGCTTATCAGTGCAAAAAAGCAGAAACAAATGAGGGAGGGACAAAGAAAGGTACTCCAATCTCACAGCCCCTGGAGAGCTTGCTTTTTCAAATAACGTCAGATTAAATCAGGGCAGCTCTGCTGAAGGGTGAGCTGGTGCCGCCAGCCACTGGAGCAGGGACCCAGTTTGCATTGGAGACACCTTTTTGTGTTAATTACCACAGCTCAGCCATCCCAGCACGGAAAATTCCGAGCTCCTGAACCCACAGCAGCGTTTCAGGTGAAGGTTTGTTTCACTCAGAAATGAGACACGGTTCCTCCTGGCTGCTGTTAAGCCGTGGATGTTCTCCCAGGTGCAGATTTCCTCTGCCTTCTCCCAGTGAAGGATTAGTCCAGGCTGGATTGAGGCACATCCCAGCACACACACGGGGATTTCAAGGGGAGCCCTTTGGCTCTGTAGCAGGAAAAAAATCTCCTCAAATGCTCAAGTGCCACTCATGGGTGGAAGGAGAGTTTCTCCTCTGTCACAACACTGGGTTTAACATCCCTTCTCTGTCACATGGAGAAATGGGAAGTGAAATTTTCTGCACTCTGTGCTGTGTCCCAAGCTCCAAGGCACTTGGGGATGTGTGGAGCTCAACTCCTGCTGCCCATTGAGTGTTTGTGCCCATCTGGGCACTGACTGCAGCCCTTCCCACGGAGCTCTGCTGCAGTGCCAGGGCACACAGACAGCAGCTCCTGGC